ATATATATATATATATATATCGACTTTCCTTTACTCTAATATGTTCAGACCAACTTTAAATGAAGTTAGGTCACAGTTAATGCAGTTTAAGGGATTTTAGTTCAATTAATCTAACGTTAACAGCAGCTGGTCCCACAAGACGATCGATTATCTTATTGATTAACTCTAAATAAACAACAACAACACCGACACTGTGGACATTTAGGTTGTGTAACTAAAACACCGAGAGATCAACAACACGTTGTTTTCATACCGCCAAAACGGAGGCAGCGGGAGATGACGTCAGTTTGTAGTCCAACAGGTGCAGAAGGCGAGTGTGAGCCGGAGCGTCTGGTTTTCTTTTTTAAGAGGGCTGCTTTTCGAAAATAGCGAGTGAAAAAACGACCGTCCGTCGGTGTTGTGAAGCGGAGTTGAGTTTTCGTGTGATTATCTGTCGTGAACAGCAACAATGTCTAAAGACTAGCGGGAGAAAATCGACCGTTTATGTGAAAGGACCCCACTAGGACCTAACGTTGGCACCGCTACCATGGCAACGAGTTGCGCATTGACAAAGCCGTTATTACCCTCGACTTTACACGTTGTCCACTTGTATGTAAACGTTGTTTGTAATCACACAAAATCCACTATGATGTGAAATAAACATAGTTTGATTTCTTTTATCAGCGTATATTCTTTCATTTTCTGTCAGGCAATGCTTAAAGGGGTACGTAGCCATGGGAGCAGCAAAGGAGCGGTTTTTTTTTTATCCAATGTTGCTGAACATACAGTCTAAACAGACGCCATAGTCGCTTATAACTTGTCTTATTGTCGCCAATCAAAAGGTAAACTCACTGTCTAACGTTAGGCCGAGCGACTAGTGTAACTTTAGCTGGTCGACAATGCTACTACGGTGAACCTGCAGTACTGTCCGAAGTTGCAGCTTAAATAAATCATGTCTCGTCTCGTCAAGAAATCCCCATCTCTTTGCACGGATCTACCACTGCACGACACTGATATTTGTGACAAGCTTCATTTGCTCTGGCAGCTGCTGAGATCTTGCTTTGGTCCGACAGGCAGACTGAAACAAGTTCACAACAACATTGGAGGGCACGTTGTCACCACCTCCACCTCCTCGGTTCTCCTTCCAGCCATTTCCTCCTCACAGCCTTTCATCAATCTGATAAAAACCTCCATCCTCAACCACGTTTCTCGCTTCAGCGACTGCGGTTTGTTTGCTGCCATCCTCTGCTTGTCCCTCATTGAGCAAGCCAAGCGGTCAGGTCTCAGGGGAAACGTGGCCATCAGTGTGAACAAGCACCTGCTGGGTCTCTGCACTGGTTACCTGCAGGGAGAAGACTGTGGTTGTAAGGTGAAGCTCGACTTCTGCAGCAGCCAGAGCTTGATCAAACTATCTCGCAGTATTATCTCCAGCAAACCAGCATGTGTGCTGACAGAGGCGGAGGCTCTTCACATCAGCAAGTTGGCTGTGCAGGCTTTTTTGCTGACCGTTCCCTGTAACAGCCCAGGTGTAGTCAGACTTGGTAAAATAGTGACTGTCTCTGTTGAAGGCCACTCTGTGCTAAACTCTGCAGTGTTTCCAGGTTTGCTGGTGGACGTGCCTGATGTCTTTTGCCTCAACGAGGTAGAGAGCTTGCATTCAGATCCACTGCGCGTGGTGCTGTTCAGCGCATCTCTTGCTGGAGACCTTTCTGAACTTGGAGATGGGATCATTGAGGTGCACCCAGGTGTAGACACGGACTCGCAGATCCTGGATCAACTCCTGGAGCTCGGCAAACGGGTGGTTGAAGATGAGGTGAAGCTCTTTGTATGCCAGAAGGTCATACACCCAGTCCTACAGCAGTACCTGAGGAGACATGGGATCATAGTGATAGAGAGGCTGGGAATCAATGTCATGGAGCCACTTACTCAGCTCACAGGTAGGCGTCTAAATGGCTGTTATTTCATATAGACAAACCCTTAGAAACCACAAAAAAAACGTATCAAGACCCCAAAGTTTCCATATATATTAAAGTATTGTATCCAACCGTGAAGATACTTAGATATATTAGGGGTCAGGGTAAGTTAATGGGTGTAAATATGTTAAGACAAACATTTTTGGAGCTTGTCGGGCCAATTTTTTTTATGGTGAACTTGTGGCAACTTGTTATAGGTGTCCAACGGTACATTTTGCACTGATTTCTGTTCCATTTTATTCAAACAGGTGCCTGAGGCCAGTGGCCACATTACATACTACACCAAGCCAAGGCCTACCGGGGGAAGGGGTAAGGAGATCGGTCGACAATTAGGCCAGTTTGGATTCCAAACGGAATGCTGCATTTACACCCTCCTGCGGAGTCTGCGATCTGTACGATGATCCTCTGCCACAGGAACGAGACAATGTTAAGTGAGCTGAAGGTGAGATGAAGTGAGGTGTGTTGGGACTGTAGAGATTTTAATAATATATGGCCCCATAAAGCCTAATTGGTAGAGCGGTTCACTAACACAACCAGGGGAAGAGATTAATTTCTTCTGGAGCACTTTTGATACAACCAACCATCAGCTTGCATCAGATATTTTTTTTGAAAAACATAAAAATTCAGCTTGGAAATGAACTTCCCATCTTGTTAAAGGTGGTGTGCCAGAAGACGGAGCATGTGTTGAGGCTCACCCTGAGGGAACCGTCCGCCTTACTTGGAGGTGGGTGTACTGAGACCCACTTAGCTGCTTACGTCAGACACAAGGTGAGATACAGCTTTTAGTCTGAAACCAGTCCAGTTTTATTGATTCCACATATATTCACAGCAATCTCATTACAACGTGTATTGATTATGCCATATTTTTAGAGCGTGAATGAAGTCACAGAGACGGCGTCTGCGCTAGGGTGCTCACAGACAGAGTACCTTCTTGGCGTGGACGGATTCTGCCGCTCTCTGGAGTCTGTGGCTGCGGCGCTGGAGCACGACGGTGGGAATTGTTTAATCGACCTGACTCATGCTCACCACTGGACTGTCCCTGCAGATGTCATTAAAGAACACATGGAGGATAGCTTGGGCTTCTGTGGCTGTGGAGTAATGCAAAGTAGCCCAAACAAGAAGTGGACTTATCTAAGCACTAAATACCCCCAGTTCTCACCTGCACCCCTGTTGAGAGACACTACTGTGCAGCCACGTGTGCTTGACTCCTTCACAGCTAAACTCAATGCTTTACAAGTTGCTGTAGAAACTGCTAATCTTGCACTGGATGTGCGATATGTAATTCAAGATACGAACTAGCAGAAAAGGCATTTTATCCAGTGGGGTACTCTCTGGATTTTCATAATAAATGTAATATTCAGTTCAGACACTAGATGTTAGCATTGCCTTGAGTGAAAATCGGACAGCCAGCCTGAACGTCTTGCATCTATCCTGTTGTCATGTGATTTACCTCTTTGGTAAGTCGTTGATTTATTGTCTTGCTTGTCAGTAATATTACAAACAAATACTTTTTACCACACTGATTTTTTTGTTAACCTTTTTGTGAACTTTCCACACAATAACACACAATTTCTTGTGGAGCTTTGAATGATGTTTGCAACAGTTTACAAATTCAACGACCTAAAAGATTTTCTATGGAAGTTATCAAACAAAGCCTCACCTTTGTTTTTATTACTTTGTGTTCTATCCAAATGTTACTAGTCTAAACCTGATGATTGGTAAGAAACTACCTGACTAGGATCTATGCAAATACAAACAACAGACAATCAAATATTCCACTGTAATGACTTATTTTCACAATGTTTTATGTCACACAGTGTCTGATAAAATCTGGACCAAGTTACATTCAGTGTAATGAGATGTGTTATTTGTTATATATATTGTGTTGCAGGTTGTATATTTAGTATTTGCATAAAAGTAAACTAATTCTTCTCAACAAATCTCTTCTGTGTGCACAAAGTTATTCTATCAGTCTTTTTCCATGTTTCTACTATAGCACTTTGTATAGAATATGTACAGAACTATATGACTGCAAGCAAAACCAAAACAGACTCTTGTGCAGTAAAATGAATGTTGTTTAGAAACACAGTAATATGAGTGCACATTCCTGTGCTTGTCTTCCGCTGCTGGTTCATTGTCTGCCCTTAGAAGATGACAGCCAGGTGTTTTTCCTCTCAGAAGATGAATGGAATCAAAGCCTTCCGCAGCTTGGGATAGTCTTTGAATTTCTCCCGGTAGAACCTGAAACAGAGGAGCAGAAGGATAACATCTGTCACTCAGAAATGGAAATCGCATTAATAATGTAGGTAAATTCATTCATTCTGTGTCGGGACTGCTTTGATTTTCATTAATGTCTCAGGCACCTGTGATGGTAATAGGCTCTTGGTCCAATAAAACACAGGCTATACACAGCAAACGCGAGTGCTGGAAAGGACCAGGTGGCTACAGCATAGCCAAACCACTCCACTATCTCCCCTAAGTAGTTGGCAGCAGACACATATTCAAACAGACCTCCTGCAGGAGATTAAGGAAACCATGGGTCAATACAAGCACAGAGTCGATGAGAGATTATTCAAGTTTGATTTTTGTTTCTTACCTTTAGGGATCTTGTAAACTACTTCCCCTTGTTTCCTCAAGCTACGTAGAATATAGTCACTATGTATATTGATGGCCATTCCGACAAAAAACAGCAGTAAACCTAGACGAAAAGTCATTAAAATGTATGAAACATATAAAATGGTAGAATTTCATTTTATTAAAAAAGAAAAAATAGATATATATCTCCTACCAGTTATATAGCGATAGTCAGCTGACCATTCATCATCAAACTGGGCACAGTGCAGCAGGTAGTGGCCCTGCAGGAAGCCATTCAGAGAGCAGAAGAAACCTGCTGCCACCATCACACCCAGTGGGAAAGGCTTCCCTCTTGTCAGTAGTGAATAGACAAATGTCCTATGATTGGTGAAGCAATAATAGATAAAGCAGGTGGAAACAGGGAGGAGGATAATAATGCATTTCATCCACACTGGTAAGTGCAAATTACATGTTTTTTTTTACATGGAGAGATTTTGTAGAAATGATTTAGCATTTAAGTGCAGGCACACACAAAAAAAGGTAGCATTAAGCCCTATTCTTCATGGGAGGTTACCAATGCATTCCTCATAGTGTTTTAGCCTTCAGATTAAAGCAGCAGGAAATCTAATTTACAAAGCTCATTTTTCCGAAAATGTGTATTTTGGCTCTTGCTTTTACTTACAAAGTGGCTGCACAGTATCTATCTACGCCAAAATGAATACCACATTTTTGTTGTTTTCTGTCAGGAAGTACAAAATGTTAGAAGGCAATCATTACTGCTGTATATTCAGAACAGGAGCTTTAACTAAAAAATGCATTCAGTTTGTCCTTTTCCAATGGTGGGTCAGTGCCATAATAAACCAAAGAAAATGTGTCTTCTATAATGAATAAATTAATTCATAGAGTACCCATATATTACAAGTATACCTTTAATGTTCATACACAATACTAGGCAAACATAACAAAATACATGTAAGATATAATACTGTAGGTATAAGACTATATAAAACAAAAACTATAAACTATAAACCTCATGAAACCAGAGTAAATAACAAATTAAATGTGTAAAATCTATCCTGCTGACAGGTTCATCTTGTATAGATTCTTGCATTTTGAATGAATGGGGTGATGTGCATTTACCTACACACAACTCCAGAGACCACAGCTGTACATCTTCATCTACATTTTCACACTCCCCTTCACATACACGCGAAATAGCCAAAACCACAGTTTCCGACTATGCTTTTACCTTTGAAAGTAGTGCATGCAGAAGGTCCCAAGCAGCAGGTACTTCCCCATACTGGAGGGTTTGTGGGAGGTGAGCATTAAAAGTAGGGGAATCACGAGAGCTGGCATCTCCTGAAAGAACCAGGCTAGTCTGGCTGGGACCGTCTGAACAGGAGGAGAGAGTCTCATGTGGCGCCCATAGGAGGACTGCGTCTTCCTGTGTTGGACCAAGTACCCCAGTCCTGCCAGGATCATCCCACAGCTGAGACAGTTAACCAAATCCCCATAGCAGTGCATCTCGCAGGTCTGCGCCTCAGGGTCGGCGAGTGTTGCAGTGATCTTTTCCTGCTTATAAACTAATGTTAAGCCTCTGTGTGAATTTAAATTGATGTAAACAGCCTCTCTGACTCCTCCCAAAGGAAAGAGGGGGAGAGAGAGAG